ATTTCCTCCCAAAGGCCAACCGGTCCAGAAAAGGCACACTTGAAATGCCTTCGGGTCAACAATTGCTGGAGAAGGAAAAAACAAGAGCGATTGAGGAAGCCAATCCCTCCCCCACCGGGCCAGGGTGGAGGAATGCAGAGCTTCATCCAGCCTTGGCATTTTCACTCTGGGGAGGCTGAGCAGCCACCACCAAATGAATGCTTTGATGCCCTCCTAGATGCCTTCAGGCTGATGGGAAAATGCTTCCTGCTTCTGGGAGCAGCCGATCCTCAGAGAAGGCCTCTCAGGCCCCAGAAGGCATCATCTGGGCTAGGGTAGCTAGAAACGCACCCCCTATTCCCATATCATGCTGGGCCAGAGTTGGGGAGTGAAGCAGACTTTGCAAAAGGATTGTCCAGTCAGAGCTCAGATTTAGAGGAGGATGCAAGACATGTTCTGACCTAGGCTTCCCAAGAACATGAAATAAACCCCTTTTATTAATTTACTGTGAATTCTGCTCATTCACATCCAGTCTTTCAAGGAGAATTACAGTCACAGGCCTTATCTGGCTTGCAGAGCTGACAGGTTGGTATCTGTAAAACTTGGCCAAGAGTCTCAGAGAGTCACAAACCAATCAAGCGAACTCATTGTCTCCTGCAAACTCCACTCCCCTTCAGCTCCTTTTTTTATTCCCTCTGGAAGGGGCCATTCATCGTCCACCTGTGACCTTACTCCCAAGTCGACACCTGTTCCTTAGCTGTTCCCTTCGTCTGGCAACTCAGCGCATGCGCACACTGGGAACAGGCTCCAGCTGTTCTTCCGCCTCACTGATGTCTGACTCCGAAGGCAGCTGATAACTGTCAGACGGCCCTGGCCTCCTCTCTGCCTCCAACACAGAGCCCTCATCAGAGCCTTCCCCAGACTCTGGCCCATGTTCCTCCCCAACCTCTTCACTGTCCAAATCTGCTGCCAACTCCACAGGCCACTGGCGGGCCACAACAAGATGGCGTCCCTCACAGCCAGGCCTCCTGCCTTGGTCTCCAGCCCACGGTTCAGCAGGTGTTTGGATTGGGGCGCTCTTTGACCAGAAGAGCCAAGTTGAGGTAGCTACGGGGGCTGCCCACTTCGCTACGCAACTGTTTTTAACCCCCCCCTCCAAAATGCAAAGCACACGGCTCTGTGTGAGGGGAATAGAGCAGCTCTCTCAGAAATTGCCGCCAAGCAAGAAATCCAAGCAGGAAATGGGAGGAAGTCTTCCTTGGGAAGGTCTTGCTTGGACGTGAGCAAATTAATTTTGACCGATTGCCTGCGAACGATATCAATAAAGGAGAATATTTGTAGCTAAGGGTCGGAATGAGAGGTCCTTGGGGCTCTCTAAGCTTGCTTGTTTTTTTGCAGACGTTTCATTACCCAACTAGACATCATCATCAGTACTATAGAGCAAGCCACTTGTGTATGAACAGGGAGCAAACTTCATTTCTTCTAAGACTAATGATGTTACCTGGTTTGGGTAATTATTGCCAGGTTACTTACAAATTACTGCCAATTACAAAATAACTAACAATTACTCCTTCCATTGAGAACCTGTATACTGCACGAGTCAAAAAGAGGGCTGTGAAAATATCTACAGACCCCTCGCATCCTGGACATAAATTGTTTCAACTCCTACCGTCAAAACGACGCTATAGAGCACTGCACACCAAGACAACTAGACACAAGAACAGTTTTTTCCCCGAACGCCATCACTCTGGTAAACAAATAATTCCCTCGACATTGTCAAACCATTCACTAAGGCTGCGTTACTATTATTAGTCTTCTCATTGTTCCTATCACCTGCCACTTGTGACTGCAGGAGTGCAACTTCGTTGCTTGTATCCTTACGATTTATATGGATATTGATTGTTTCCTGATTGCTTATTTGTACCCCGTGACTATCATTAAGTGCTGTACCTTATGATTCTTGACAAATGTATCTTGTCTTTTTATGTACACTAAGAGCATCTGCACCAAAGACAAATTCCTTGTGGGTCCAATCACACTTGGCCAATAGAGAATTCTATTCTGTTCTCTTCCCTTCTCTTCTGTTCTATTCTATTCATTCTTTCTTCTGTTCTATTCTAATTCTGTCCTATTCTATTCATTCTCTCTTGTTTTCTCTTCTATGTATTCTCTCTTCTATCCTGTTCTAATTCTATTCTATTCATTCTCTCTTTTCTCTTTTCTCTTCTCCTTTCTCTTCTCTTCTCTTCTCTTGTATTCTATTCTATTTTATTCTATTCTATTCTAATGAAATGTCTGCAAGAAAACAGAGCACCAAGGAGCCCTCATGCCTATAAATGCTTGTCCCGTTTAAAAAAAACAGATGCTTGTTTTCGTGGGGTGCAAAATGGCACCGTGAGGGCCACGGAATTGGGCTACGTCGCTGAGCACCAGCTGTACTTGTAAAGTGTCTCTTTTTTCAATATTTGTATAGTCCTTGCCTGGCTCCTCCTCCTCCTCCTCCTCAACCCAGCCCGAGTTTAGCCACTGCAAAATGAAGGCCTCGCCCTTGCGTCGCTCCGCCTCCCTGACCCTGATCAGACACAGCCCTGTGGCCTGTGCCAAAGCCACCAGCCCCATAGAGGAGGCCACAAGCCCTCCCATCTGCCTGCAGCGTTGGCGGCCTACGGTCCCAATATCGTCTCTGGGGGACCCCCCGGCCGTAAGTCTGGTTTCTCTTCTATCTCTGCTCCGGGGCAATGCTATCAGCTCCCTCCCTCCCAGCTCAGGACACGTCTCCGCTTCTTGGAAGCCTCTTCTGGGTTTGCTTTTCGTCCTTTGGGGGTCCAGCAAACCCAAATATGTGCAGCTTTGCCTTCTTCGGACTTCCATGGAAGCCACCACTGAAGCATTCAAGGAAGTAACAGGGAATGAACCATCTTCCTTGGGATTTCTTTCTCCCTCCCGGTTGGTGTTTTTCGTTGTCCTGCAGACCTTCAGTGCTGGTCCACTTGGTTTCTTGAGCTCTTGCGTCTTTGGGTTCCTTGGTGGTCTCTCTCCGTCTGTCCTTCGTCCAGGCTTCATAGCGGTCTCCTCTCCTTCTGTTCTTCATCCAGGCTTCATAGCGGTCTCCTCTCCTTCTGTTCTTCATCCAAGGTCTTTCAGGAGCTGTGCAAAAGGTGACTTCAGGATTCTGGGCTGTTCTTGGCGTTCTCCAAATGCCAGCAACAGCCTGCTTTCTCTGCCAGTCAAGATGATCGGTTCATTCTTTGGCGTGTGTGTGTGTGTGTGTGTGTGTGTGTGTGTGTGTGTTTCCCCCTTTCAAATAGTCTTTCACTGTGACTGAACTGCTTAATATTATGTGCTTCCTGTGTTTTTATGATGTGGGAGTCAGAATCTCTACCCAGGCCTTGCCAGTAGCGAAACCTCCAAGGACGTTGGTTGGGCTTCTTTGCAGAGCAAATGCAGAGGGAATGATGGGAGTGTAGATAGATTATAGGATCAGAGTAGAATGAGGATATGGGAAAATTTCCCTTCATTCATTCATTCATTCATTCATTCATTCATTCATTCATTCATTCATTCACTTTTGTATGTGGGAGTGCGGTGGCTTACATGGTTAGGATGCTGGGTTGGAGGTTAGCAAGCCCATGTTTGAGTTCCAAGTGCTGCTGCATAGCCGGGGTGAGCTCCTGTCATGTGCTCCAGCTCCTTGACGGGGATTTGAAAGGAGTCCCCACGAGCGTTTTCCGGGCAACGGTGATGTCACCAGCTAATCCTTTCAACCCAGAAGCACCTTAACATTTATGCCTCTGACATGAATGGGATGACATTTTATATGTTCTTTTTTGGGCTGCAACTCCCAGCTAGAAGGGACACGGTGGTTTAGTGGCTAAGATGGTGAGCTCCCGCTCCTTGTCCCAGCTTTTGCCAACCTAGCAGTTCGAAAGCATGTAAAAATGCAAGGAGAACAAAAGGTACCACCTTTGGTGGGAAGGTAACAGCGTTCTGTGTGCCTTTGGCATTTAGTCATGCCGGCCACAGGACCACAGAGACGTCTTCGGACAGCACTGGCTCTTCAGCTTTGAAACAGATGAGCACCGCCCTCTAGAGTCAGGAACGACTAGCGCACATGTGCGAGGGGAACCTTTACCTTTACTTACTTCCCAGCTAATTTTAAGATGTCTGACCTGCCCACTACCCTTCTTCCAATAATCTTCATAAATCACATCTCCAGTCCTGTGCTGCAGAGTAGCATAAATTTGGACCACAGACCTTATCCAGATGTTTCACATCTTCAGATTGGAGGGCCTGGAGTTGGATAGTGGGCATTTATCAATCATGTGCAAGACAAGGTGACAGAAACTTGGTTATACAGGGGGGGGGGGAATCCTTTGTCTATACATTTCTATACATATATTTGTTTACTAAGATTTGCAAGCAGCCTCCTTCCACTCCAGGCGGCTTCCAATTCCTTGAAATAATGCAAGAGAGCAAAAATGGAAACTAGGATAGCAAGAAAAAGCACATCCCTTGATAATGAAAGTTACAATTTCCATCATCATCAAGAACACACAGGATCTCTATGGAGATTCTCAGTCATCCAGATCATGGTTGTCCCAAAAGTGCTTTTTTTTCGAAAGGCAGCTGGACTTGTTTTTCCTTGTTTTCATTTCTCATCCAAGAACTGGCAGAAGTTTCATGGGTGAGAAGCGAAACGTCTTCAAGAAAAAATAAAGGAAGTCCAGTTGCTTTTTGAAAAAAAAAAAAAAGCAACTTTGGGACAATGCATTGGATGACATAGTCCCAAACCAGCATCTCTTTCCCAAAGGCCATCCAGAAGACATGATCTTTGTGGGTCACCAAAATGCCAGTAAAGAAAGAATGACTCCAGCATAGGAGGAGCAGATACGCCAAAACTCTGGATCCAGGTTTTTCTGGGGTTAGAATAAAGTTTTGAGTAGAATTAATTTCTTTATCCAAGTCTACAGGCAAGCGTTGTGTGCTAATCGCTTGTACGAATCTCATCTTCTTTCTTGCAGGCACCAAGTATAGATGAGAAAGTAGATCTTCATTTCATCGCTTTAGTGAATGTGGACGGCATTCTGTATGAACTAGGTAAGGCCCCTCAAAAACAAACAACGCCCCATCCACGGGGTGCAGGCAGCACGCAAAACCATGGCCCCTGTAGTCTGCGGAAAAACTACAGAATTGGTCCCTGATATCCAAAATGTTGGAGGCCACTGTTCTAGTCCAACATCTTGCTCAAGCAAGAGGGCCTATATCCGTGATGGCGAGCCTATGTTACGCATGCC